ATGTAAAATTTGGCCATTGATATACCAACAGTGGTCTTTCTTGGAAGGATGTGGTCGAAACTTTCCTTGCTGATTCGCCACTTTTAAAATATCCAAGAGCTGGTTTCCTTGAGTCTTACTGCTGCAGAAACGGCCGCCCGAGCAATTTCATCAAGCGGAGGTAGATGCAAGGTCGCATTTAGGGTGTATGACGTGAGACATCGTAAATTCGTATAATATAAACATAAAAAACAAAGTAGTCCAGACATATGGGGTTTCTAATGATTTCGACTGCAGCACCATTATGAATTGCAACCTGATTGTACAATAAATAGGGATTTTCTAAATAACTCAACTGCAGCGCCACCTAGCGGGTCCATTTTTCGCATAAGTATTTTTCATCATGCAGGAAGAACACATTTTGAATTTGAACGAAATCAGTTCATAAATACATCATACATAAATACTTTTATAAATAACTCGGCTACATCGCCACCAAGGAGTTTTCTAGTAGCCTTTAGTAGGACTTTATGCGCATGGAATAACCTCCGAAAATTTAAATTAAATCTATCCAGGGGTTTGAGTTAAATCGCAACAACGAAAACGGTTATCATTTTATACATAAATATATGTACATATCTATATACATAAATTACTTGTTTTACTATTATTTTATTCGTTATTCGAATAATTAATGAAGTTGATAATTATTCGAATAACGAATAAAATAATTTATCCGTCATTCGAATCATTTTTTTTTTTTAATAAACAAAATTATTTATTGTTTACGAATAACAAGAAAAACAATTTATTCATTTGTTATTCGTCATTCGAATAAATTTTTCCCAACTCTGCTTTCAAGTAGTCAGAGATTTCACAGCCCAGCAGGCAGAGATATGCTCAAACTTTGCTATCCCAAATACATATGGTTGAAAGCTACCTAAATTTTATGTGCTGATTGAGAGTCTAGCTTGCTATAAACTAGTTCAGGATAGCATATTATCGGAAGTATAAGCTGTATTGCAAGTTTCCGTCTGATATCAATTGGTGTGCAGACATTCTTAAGTTTCTCAAAGTATAATACACCTTTCCGACAATGGAGTTTATATGATCAACACACGTAAGACTAGTATTAATAACATAACCGAGATTAGTTACCTTGGATACAAATTTAATAGATTTATCCCCAATGTATAGTGATGGGATATCTATGAGGTTCAGACGCTTCTTACAAATAGGTAACACGTAACACTTATCACAATTAAGACAAAGACCATTTTGTTTTTAATTAAATTTTTTTTTCTTTGTGTATATAAATAGAAATTTTTGGGATTAAGAAAGTATAATGCTGGATTTCCCCTAGGCATTAAATGGCAAAAATGACAAAGTCGGGCATTAAAAAAAATCGTGTCATTACATTAAAAAAATAGTAATTAAGTTCATTTCCACATGGCATTTTTTCAAATGGCATACATTTTTTGTCATTTCAACGATACCAATTTTTTAAAAATCGGTTTGTAATTTTTTTTGTTTACAATATTTTTTTTTTATAAAAAAGGTATTTTTTGCTTTTAAGTGTTGTTTCTCAAATTTTTATCTACGAAGTATTCAAATACCAGAAGAAAGGGCATTTAATCGCCTTTACAACGATACCAAATTTTTAAAAAGCGGTTAGTATTTTTTTTTATTAAAAAAAGGTGTTTTTTAATTTTAAGTGTTTTTTCTCAAATTCTTATAAACGAAGTATACAAATACGCATATCAGAAGAAAGTAGGTTTGATTGCGTTTACAACGATATCAACTTTTTAAAAACCTATTAGTAATTTTTTTGTTTAAAATATTTTTTTTTATAAAAAAAACTTATTTTTTCCTTTTAAATGTTTTTCTCAAATTTTTACACACAAAGTATACAAATATGCATATCATATGAGAAGAAGGGGGTCTAATCACGTTTAAAACGATACCAACTTTTTAGAAATCAGTTCAACATTTTTTTAAATATAAGGTTTTTAATTTTTCGTAGACCCGACCTTTGCCCCCTTATAAATAGCACCTGTAATATAACTTTGCAAAAAAAAAGTTATAAACCATTTAAATAATAGCAAAGGGCGGTCTAAGATTNAATTTTTTTAAATATAAGGTTTTTAATTTTTCGTAGACCCGACCTTTGCCCCCTTATAAATAGCACCTGTAATATAACTTTGCAAAAAAAAGTTATAAACCATTTAAATAATAGCAAAGGGCGGTCTAAGATTGTATTTTTAGTTTTTTATTTATGTACATATAATAATAAAAAATAATTTTTTACCAAAGATCCTCTTTCGAACTTCGAAGGCCCATATCTCGATTTCAGAGGCGAACTTCGAAAAACGGAGAAATTACTTTTTTATCTATAACTCGATCTCTTAAAAAAATTGGTTTGGTCCAATACCCAGCGGAGTGCGTGCTGTACAGTGTAATGATTCTAGTATCTTCATTTATGTATATTGTAACTATCAATATCTTATAAAGAGAAGTGTAAAATTTTTTTATCTAAAACTAATAAAGTTAGAAGGACGAAATTCGAGGTAGATAACATATTAGTCCTTGGCATATATTTTATTCAAAAATAAATATTGGAAATTTCCAAGGATATTCAAGGATAAAGTTTTTAAATTACATTTTCAACATTTATTCGTCCTGGTGCAACAAAAAATTTAATTTTTTTAAATTCTACAGAATGTTTCCTTTTATTTGATACCCATATTGTTACTCTACAATGCACCAAATCTTTCAAATAATTTTTTCATTCAATCAATCCTAACGTCAGAGAGAAAAATTAAGAATCCAGTTACACTATATTTGGCTCCTAGTTTTGTGAATATATTGATTTTTTCGTGTGTTTTAAAAATTGTTGGTTTTTGGCGCACGGTGATATAGACCCTCGATATTTAAAATTTTTATATTTGTAAGTTATTGAAAGATTTTTGCTGTGTTGGCAACAACTTGTCTGCAGTAAAAAGCATATAATTTGCGTTCAAAAAGTGTGTGAAAACCAATCAGTCAACTTACATGATCCGGTTCCGATAACAAATAATCAATATGGAATTGTTTATACCCGCATTTTGGCACTGATTTGAATGTACCATCTAATAAATACTGTCGTTCTCCTCAGCTGATTTTAAATAATGTTACAAATTGTTGGCGGCGACATGAATACAGTGTAAGAAAATTCCTTTTCTTTAATTGTTTCCTTATACAAAATGTTTCTTTTCCACCTTAGTCATTCCGAATTCGTTCAAAATATGCTCATTTAAAAACAATTATTTCAGTGTTCCTTCTGGATTTTTGGACATGGCGGCAATCCACTGTTTCTTCAATTTAATAGTGTTCGCTTTATTTTTGGAAATAAGACATGTTTTGCAAGTCTTGATCATTTCTACATTCTTTCTTCAAATATTTCTCGTATTCCAGCTCTTTTTGAGGTTGGTTTCTCGCAGCGTGTTTTTGTTATTGTTATTTGTAATTTTAAAATTATTAATAAAATCAATTGGTGGTGATTCATGACTGTGNATTCGTAATTTTAAAATTATTAATAAAATCAATTGGTGGTGATTCATGACTGTGTCTTGTTGATTAATAGCATGCTGAGGATCTGACAATAACCTCTTTCATCTATGGAAGGAAACAACACTTACGGGGCAATGTTTATTGTAACAACATTCATATCTCACGTACTATGCTAGAACAACATTATTATTATTTTTTTTTTTNCCATATTGTTACTCTACAATGCACCAAATCTTTCAAATAATTTTTTCATTCAATCAATCCTAACGTCAGAGAGAAAAATTAAGAATCCAGTTACACTATATTTGGCTCCTAGTTTTGTGAATATATTGATTTTTTCGTGTGTTTTAAAAATTGTTGGTTTTTGGCGCACGGTGATATAGACCCTCGATATTTAAAATTTTTATATTTGTAAGTTATTGAAAGATTTTTGCTGTGTTGGCAACAACTTGTCTGCAGTAAAAAGCATATAATTTGCGTTCAAAAAGTGTGTGAAAACCAATCAGTCAACTTACATGATCCGGTTCCGATAACAAATAATCAATATGGAATTGTTTATACCCGCATTTTGGCACTGATTTGAATGTACCATCTAATAAATACTGTCGTTCTCCTCAGCTGATTTTAAATAATGTTACAAATTGTTGGCGGCGACATGAATACAGTGTAAGAAAATTCCTTTTCTTTAATTGTTTCCTTATACAAAATGTTTCTTTTCCACCTTAGTCATTCCGAATTCGTTCAAAATATGCTCATTTAAAAACAATTATTTCAGTGTTCCTTCTGGATTTTTGGACATGGCGGCAATCCACTGTTTCTTCAATTTAATAGTGTTCGCTTTATTTTTGGAAATGAGACATGTTTTGCAAGTCTTGATCATTTCTACATTCTTTCTTCAAATATTTCTCGTATTCCAGCTCTTTTTGAGGTTGGTTTCTCGCAGCGTGTTTTTGTTATTGTTATTTGTAATTTTAAAATTATTAATAAAATCAATTGGTGGTGATTCATGACTGTGTCTTGTTGATTAATAGCATGCTGAGGATCTGACAATAACCTCTTTCATCTATGGAAGGAAACAACACTTACGGGGCAATGTTTATTGTAACAACATTCATATCTCACGTACTATGCTAGAACAACATTATTATTATTTTTTTTTTTTGAATCGACATACATTAAGCATTGTTGACGCTGTTTCCAATTGAATGAGAAAATAGCATCATTTACTTTATTTCCATATTTTTGTTGACTTTATTTCGCTTTTGAAAAGGTAATAATGTCAATTGACTTTATTTCGCACCAGTCTGCGAAATAGTCTCAATTGACCTTATTTCCGTTGATCTTGTTACATGTCACCGTCATTAATCCCAGCGCTACTTGTGGCCTTATTGCTATTATGTACTTGGGATTCGCTATTGCAAAATATGTATTGCTGCTCGTTTTCCTGTTTCGTCAACGCTTTTCTGTTTTAGGTGTCTTCGTCATGCAGTTCAGTTTATGTCGACGGCTCTGAAATAAGGGGATCATCTAATGCTTCAGTTGTTGTAAAATATGGATCGTATGCTGGATTGGCAAAATTTACTGTTTGGATGCCAGAATTTCCATTGGAAGTTTATGTGTCGGACTTTCGACTTTCACAGATCAAAGGGTGGAAAGTCGTTGACGACAGCAGTATTTTGTAAGTACTCCGGATGCTGTATATGTATATCGTCTTCATCAATGTAAGTGACCAAAAACTATATTCTTTTAGAAGTGCTTTTTATTTAATATTTCATTAGTTTACGCTCAGAGATACAAAAATTCACAGCGAACTTTAAACCATGATGCAATCATTTTTAGAGGTAGTTCCACTCTCTTTTCATATGCCATATTAGCCATTTGACAAAAACGACATTCGTGCTACCAATTCCTTATAAACAATGATCTATTGTTTGAAATTAAGTGAACAAAAACGATAGTTAAAAAAATCAAAATACAGAAAAAATTTATTTTATTCAAAAAATAAAATAAAAACTAGTTGCTGCTTTCCTGGAGGTAAAAATACCAGAAAACCAATTAAGGAAACCAGCTAAACCCAAACTAACTATTTGATAATTTGACGTAAATTATCCGTTCTTTGTCCGTGGGACTAGAAATTTTGCCGCGACATATTATAAAAAATTTCGCGTGCTCTGCTAACTTCCGTGGAAGTTACGTTATTTTTGTTAAATATGTCTGCGAAAAAATTTTTAGTTCCACGGGTTTAGGTGGTTTCCTTAATTGGTTTCAGAAGTCGTCATGCTAACTTTCACGGAAGTTGGCAGAGAACGCGATATTTTTTTTTAAATATGTCTGCGACAAAATTTTTAGTCCCACGGATAATTTACGGCAAATTATTAATTAGTTAGTTTGGGTTTAGCTGGTTTCCTTAATTGGTTTTTAGAAGTTGTCCTGCTAACTTCCACGGAAATTGGCAGAGCACGAGATATTTTTTTTAAATATGTCTGCGACAAAATTTTTGACCCACGGATAAAGAACGGATTATTTACGGCAAATTATCAAATAGTTAGTTTGGGTTTAGCTTGTTTTCAGAAGTTGTCCTGCTAACTACAACGGAAGTTGGCAGAGCACGTGATATTTTTTTTAAATATGTCTGCGACAAAATTTTTAGTCCCACGGATAAAGAACGGATAATTTACGGCAAATTATCAGATAGTTAGTTTGGGTTTAGCTGGTTTCCTTAATTGGTTTCCACGGAAGTTAGCAGGGCACGCGATATTTTTTAAAATATTTCCGCGGCAAAATTATTCTTTTCACGGATAATTAACGGCAAATTATCCGATAGGAATTTTTACTTTGGGAAAAAGTTGTCCTGTCAACTGCAGAGAGGTGCATTTCCCACTCGATGGATTACTCTTCTTCTTCTTCTCTTCTTCTTTATTGGCGCTGTAACCGCCTAAACGATTTTGGCCGACTCCGGGGAGGCCTTCCTCTTCCTTTGTTACCAGCATTTCGGCTCGCGTTGAATATTTTCAGAGCAGGAGAGTTTCTGTCCATTCGAAACCATGGCCAAGCCAGCGGAGCCGCTGAATCTTAATTCGCTGCACTATGTCTATATCGTTGTTAAGCTCATCGTTAAATCGTCTGCGGTATTCGCCATCGCATAAAGGTCCATAAATCTTTCCCAGAATCTTTCTCTCGAAAACTCCAAGAGCCGCTACATCAGATGTTTTCATTGTCCATGCCTCCGCGCTATACACCACCACAGGCATGGTGAGTGACTTATAGAGTCTGTTCTTTATACGACGAGAGAGGACTTAACTTCTCAATTGCCTATTCAGTCCAAAGTAGCACTTGTTGGCAAGAGTGATTCTCCGTTGGATTTCAAAGCTGACACCATTAATGGTGTTGTTGCTGGTTCCCAAATAAATCAAGTCGTCTACTTTTTCAAACTTGTAACTGGGAATAGTGACGTGTGTGCCAAGATGCGTATGACCTGACTGTTTGTGAGATGACAGGTGATACTTCGTTTTGTCCTCGTTTACCATTCGCTTTGCTTCTCTATCTAATCCCGAAAAGGCAGAACAGACGTAGCCCTTGCTTTACCGATAATATCGATGTCGTCGGCATACGCCAGCAATTGTACGCTTTTGCAAAGTATTGTGCCTGAGCGGTTCAGTTCTGCGGCGCTATCTCCTCCAATATCAGATTAAGGAAATCACATGCAAGGGAGTATCAAAGGGCTCTGAGATGTTCTTCCAAATTCTGACTGAGCTGATCGTTTTACACAGCCGTATTAGTTTCGCGGGGATACCAAATTCACACATCGCGGCATAAAGACAACTTCTCTTCGTGCTGTCGAAAGCGGCTTTGAAATCGACAATTAGATGGAGTGTGTCGTTCCTACTCTCGCGAATCTTTTCTAAGATTTGGCGTATTGTGAATACCTGATCTATGGTTGATTTGCCAGGCCTAGAGCCACACTGATAAGGCCCAATCAGTTCATTGACGGTGGGCTGTAGTTTGCCACACAATACGCTCGATAATACCTTGCTGACTTGCTGACTTGCTTGACTGATCCCGCGGTAGTTGGCGCGAATGGCGGGGTTGCCTTTTTTGTGGATTGGGCAGAGCACAATTAAATTTCAGTCGTCGGGTATGCGTTCATCTGACCATATTCTGCATAAGAGTTGATGCATGCAGCTTATCAACTCCTCACCACCGTACTTGAATAGCTCAGCTGACAGGCTATCAGCTTCAGCAGCTTTGTTGTTTTTCAGCCGCGTTATTGCTATTCGTACCTCGGCATAGTCAGGAGTGGGACATCGAATCCATCGTCATCGACTGGGGGCTCGGGTTCGTCTTCTCCACTACTTTCAGTGCTGCAGCCATTCAAAAGTGTTCCCTCCATAATTTAAGTACGTTCTGGACATCAGTGTCTAGGTCGCAATGATTGTTCTTACAGGAGTTCGCCCTGGTCGTGAAACCTTCCGTAAGTCGCCTAACCCTCTGGTAGAATTTTCGGGCGTTCTTCCTGTCGGCTAGCATCTCAAGCTCGCCGCACTCACGTACTTCGGCCTCTCTCTTATTGCGGCAAATACGTCTACCTCCCTTCTTCGGTTCCCTATAACGGTCACACATGGCTCGCGTTGCGCCCGATCGCAGCGTGGCCCTATATGCGGCGTCATTTTTTCTCTGCTGCTTCCTGACACTCCTCGTCGTACCAGTTGTTCTTTCGGGCTCGCTGAAATCCCTCTACTTCTCCGGCGGCGGTACTTAATGATCAGGAAATGTGGTTCCACTGCTGTGTTAGTCGAGTGGCGAATAAATTGGCCGTCTGTTGGAATTGCAGCTTTTCGACGTTAAGCTTTCATTGCATTGTTGGGCGCACATTTTTTTCTGGACAGAGGTGGGTGCATATCTTGGCTGCAACAAGATAGTGGTCCAAGTCGATGTTTGGCCCTCGTAGTGTACGTACGTCCAAAACACTGGAAGCATGCCTTCCGTCTATCGGAGCATGATCGATTTGGTTTCTCGTTTTTCGACCCGGAGACAGCCACGTAGCTTGATGAATCTTATTATGCTTGAACCTAGTACTGCATACTACCATGTTTCGGGACCCGGCGAGGTCGATTAGCCTCGGGCCGTTGTCGGACGTTTCGTCGTGGAGGCTGAATTTTCCGACAGTGGACCCTATGCATATGACCAAGTCCATGATATTGGCTACCATTAACTAACCAGTGCAGAGTCGATAATAATTTCTGTAGCGGACTTAAGCCATTATTACGCTCACTGTTATATTGTAGGTCCGCTCCAATTTTTTAAATATTTTTTTTTTCAATTTCGCTACGAGATAGCCGAGATTTTTCTACTACACCAATATCTAAACTGTAGTTGATTTGTTCTTTTATGACAGGCTTTTTACAATTTGCGAATTTTCCTCCTCTAATAAATTCAATAGTTCGAATCGAAGCATTTTTTGTGTCAATATTTTATGGCATCACGTGTTAAAGTACTGATTAATTCATTCAGACTGAATAAATGTAACTTATCACTGGTATGATAGGTAAAATTATTTTTAGCAAAATAATTGTAAAGGTAGCAAAACGAAAGATGATAAGTGATAAATAAAATTATTTGGTGCAGCGAAATGCTAATAATAATAATAAGTTTTGATAATTTGCATAACTTATATCTTATCCGGTAAAATATTTTCGCTAAGCATTTAAAATTTTGGTGCAACTCTTATCTATGATATGATCAATACTCATTTGAGTGACTTTTTCTTATCATGTCGGTGAAACACAAAACTGCGCATGTTCGATAATTTGCTAAAATGCTAATAATAATTCGATGGTGCAATAGGGCCCAGGACTAGGGATCGAACCGAGGTCCTACGAAGTAGTAGTACGCACCTCTAGCCACTCAGTCACAGCCGCCGCCGAACAAATGAAACATATCGTCGTTTAAAGTAGAAACTGCGTATCGTCATTCTGCAAAAGCGCGTAACTGACATTTACTGCCAAATCCTTATCCATTCGTCCTGAAATATACCAGCCAGAAATGCGATTGCTTTATAAAAAAGAGATCCATTTTGAAATATGAGTGTTTTTACTCTCTGGAAAATAACGCTGGATCACAAATTTTAGTTTGGTTTTGTTCTCCGGACGCCACAATCCAATTTCTATGTAGAATTGCTCGGTCATTCCGAAAATCGAGTTAATTTTTTTTCTATTGATACGTTTTCGAGATATTTGCAATTTACCGAGATTCAGCTTAAAACAAAAAATGGTTCCTCTTAATCACGTATGTCTTACGAACCAATTTATAGATACGTCAAATCAAAGCTAATAAACCATATATACATCACTTTCCGATAGGACTGATAGTTTCTGGCAAATTAATAAATCATTCCAGTTTTTTTATTTTTTTAATGAAAAAATGAAAAAATCAAACTATAACAGAAGAAATTTAAAAAATAACAGGTTTTGTGGTCAAATGAAAATGCGCAAAGATTTTTCGTTTGAAATATGAGCAGAAAAGCGTGTTACTTAGGTGTACGTGGCGTATGAGTAATTTCCTTTCCTGCTAATTTTTCATACAAAAAAATCTTTGCGTATTTTGATTTGACCACTCATTACTTCTTTATTTATCCCTCGCTTCCCTTCATTAGTAACTTGATAGTTTTCGTAACAGAACAGGCTTTAGCAAAAATGCAAAAATTTGGCACAGAACCTGTTATTTTTTCAATTTTACTTCTATTAAAATTTGAAGGAATGATTAATTAATTTGTCAGAAACTATCGGTCCTTTTATTTATTTCTTTTATTACCTTTGTGAAGACCCCAAGTCCATCACTAAGGGCCTCCACAATTTGAATTTCATTTTTATACATATATTTATACTTATTGTTGAATTTTGATAATTATTATAAGTCAATGAATTGTTAATTATATACATACGTGAGATTGAAATACATATGTACATATTTATATTGAAATTCGAAGTACATACATACGTACTTAGGTAAAAGGAAGTAAAGAAAATATTAGCAACAATGTTGTTAGGATAACTGTCTGCCTGCGTGCAGGACAGTATAAATAGAGCAGCAAATGTAATTTGAAATCACTTCTGGTAGAGTAGTCGTATACTCCAGTCGATCGTGCAAACGCAGATTGGAATGGCTAAGCAACGATTGTGAAGACTAAGTTGCTTAGTAGGTAGTTAAGGTATATTGGTGTGACGTGAAAACGCTGCCAAGTAGTACTTATATGGTGTGACGTGGAAACGCCGCCAAGGAAATATGTTATATTGGTGTGACGTGAAAACGCTGCCAAGTAGTACTTATATGGTGTGACGTGGAAACGCCGCCAAGGAAATACGTTATATTGGTGTGACGTGCAAACGCTGCCAACTAAATAGCGAAATAAAGAAGCGTCACTATAAGAATCATTGGCGTATTTATTTTAACGTTTGGATAAGGGAACCCAACATCCGACTGAGCCACAGCCCAGCTATAGACCGGATAAACCGGGCTCGTTACACCTTTGATTTGACGTTCCTGTTTTTAAGATTGTTAAATTGGTTCGTAAGATATACGTGATTAAGTGGAACCACTTTTTGTTTTAAGCTGAGTAACGGTAAATTACAATTATCTCGAAAACGTATCCATTAAAAAAAAAAAAATTAACTCGATTTTCGGAATCACCGAGCAATTCTACGTAGAAATTGGATAGTGGCATCCATCGAACATTTTTGCTGTAAATCAGTGTAATTTATGCAACCTCACATGCGCGGTTTTTGCATTTTGTTGAGACGCGGTTTTGTACTTTAAACGACGATATTTGCAGAAAATTTCAACTTTTTTTTTTAAATAAAATAATAAGAAATTAAAATCCCCAATATCTATTTCACAATAGTGGAAATATTAGGTGTCTGCTGTCAAACACAGTTTCTGTCAAAAAAAATTTAAGTGAAACTACCTTTAAAATATTATGATAAAAACAGTAAGGTAGACCGTTCTCTCAATTCGTCGGCCGTGACTTTTTTTTTAATTTTGACTGCATTTAAAAATCGTATAAAATTGAAAATTAAAAAAATTAAACTTGTTTTTGTTATTTTATGGCCTTATAACAATTATATTCAACAATTTCTATGGACCTTGAGGCCGTTTTTAATGAAAAACTTATTGTGGAAAAGCAACAATAATTTTAAAAAAATGGTAGAAGTGATAGCTATTTCGAAAATCACCACATTTTCTCATCAGACTTCTTTCAGTAGGTTTCGAACCGACGATCCCACTGACTCAGCCAGTTGCCTACGCACTGTGCTAAGTTCGCCTTGTGAATTATTGTTACTTTTTTTGCCACTTTTTCATTTGTTAAACCAACACAATCAAGCGCAGCTATTCCGTTGTAATTCTCACTTGATGATGTGGTTGTTGGTTTTGTTGGTTTTTATTAATAATTCTATTTTTAGAATGTTTTAACTTTTAGGTGTGCTCGTCCTTAAGTTATTTGTTTTTTGTTATTTTATGGCCTTATAACATTCACACTTGATCTTGTGGTTGTTGGTTTGTTGGTTTTTGTTAATAATTATATTTTTAGAATGTTTTAACTTTCAGGTGTGCTCGTCCTTAAGTTATTTGTTTTTTGTTATTTTATGGCCTTATAACAATTATACTCAACAATTTTTATTGAGCTTGAGGCCGTTTGAGGACGAGCACACCTAAAAGTTAAACATTCTAAAAATAGAATCATTAACAAAAACCAACAAAACCAACAACCACATGATCAAGTGTGAAATGCAGCGGAATAGCTGCGCTTGATTGTGTTGGCTTAACAAATGAAAAAGTGGGAAAAAAGCAACAATAATTCACAAGGCGAACTTAGCAGAGTGCGTAGGCAACTGGCTGAGTCAGTGGGATCGTCGATTCGAATCCTACTGAAAAAAGTCTGATGAGGAAATGTGGTGATTTCCGAAATAGCTATCACTTCTACCATTTTTTCAAATTATTGTTGCTTTTCCACAATAAGTTTTTCATTAAAAACGGCCTCAAGCTCAATAAAAATTGATGAATATAATTATTATAAGGCCATAAAATAACAAAAAACAAATAACTTAAGGACGAGCACACCTAAAAGTTAAAACATGCTAAAAATAGAATTATTAACAAAAACCAACAAAACCAACAACCACATGATCAAGTGTGAATTACAGCGGAATACCTGCGCTTGACTGTGTTGGCCTAACAAATGAAAAAGTGGGAAAAAAGCAACATTAATTCACAAGGCGAACTTAGCACAGTGCGTAGGCAACTGGCTGAGTCAGTGGGATCGTCGGTTCGAATCCTACTGAAAAAAGTCTGATGAGGAAATGTGGTGATTTCCGAAAGAGCTATCACTTCTACCATTTTTCAAATTGTTGTTGCTTTTCGACAATAAGTTTTTCATTAAAAACGGCCTCAAGCTCAATAAAAATGTTTGAAAAAAATTAAATTGTTAAAATTTTTTGTTGTTTGAGATTGAAATGGGTATATGGGTGGTGTCAGTTTGTGATTAAATTTTAAAGTGCTAGGTTTGATTCCGTATTTCTCGGAGTAAATGTAGTAAAACTAAAAAAATTAAAAATCGTTCAGAGCGAGAGAGTAACACTCAAATTACCGGGACCAGTTTCTAGTAAAAAATGGTAACTTCTGACAACTTCAACATAACCTCCAAATTTCGCTTGCAAAATTTTGCTTATTTCTTAAATAAACACACTCAGCTCACACATGTAAGTAACCAAAAATAATTAAATATTTTATAACATGCATTAGCAACGTGCACTTTTCTTTTCAAACACACTGCTGCTAATCGTCTGACCCATTTACCAGCAAAAAATCTTCATACTAAAACTGGTAACTTCTGACAAAGACCTGACCATATTTACTCCCTTATTTGTCCAATCAGTTGCCAGAGAACCGAGCACGGGATCGACTTCCAGTAAAATCTGGTAAATTCCGGTAAAAAATGGTATGTTCGGACTCATATGGGATCACAACATATATTGTTTGCAAACGTCAGAAATGATAAAAGTGTCTCTCAGCCTTTCTATATTTCCCTATTTTGATCATGGTTTAAATGTTAAAAATATATCGTCATTTTTTTTGAAGTTCTAAGAGCATTTTCCAAAAGTGTTTGCTTAAAAATTTCATATTGGTCATATATGCATTGTAAAGTGTCAGACAAAACATATTGCGCTTTTTTTCCTTTTATATTTACTAGTAAGGAAGTTTGTAAATTCTTTACATGTTTTTGCAGCCAAAAAGACAGTATTTATTGGTATAAGGCGTGCCTTAGTTTTGCCTTTTAGAAGATAGAATTACATACATATACACGTGTAAACAAATAGCCGTTTCCCATAACTTTCGTAGTCGAAAAATATTTAATATAATTCGCTAAAATTTGTAATATCAAATCTGTGTTTTCTGCTGCGCTGATTATTTCTTTAGTATCTTAAAAGCTTTTTTTACTAAAGAGCGTGTCAGACGTGGCAATATTTCCAACTTTTCTCCGCAATTCGCTGTCAAATTGTGAAAGAAATTTTATTTCGATGTGTGAACAGCCAGAAACACCTTTCTGTCACATTTCGGAAATCAATTTCAGAAATAAAAGCTGCAAGGTGTGACTGCAATTGATTGATTTCGATTTCGAAAACATATTTCAAATTGCTCGTACTGCGCTAGCAATTTTTGTTTTTGATGCAAGTGATGTCAAACTAATCGAGTGTTGCCGTGTGACACTGATCGCGAGTTTGTGAGAAATATAACGCATAATTTTGAATGAACTAATAGAAGTGATTTTAACTAATTATTTTTCCGAATTTAATTGTTAGTTACGAATAATAAATTAAGCTTCAAACTGAAAATTATGTTTTTATAACGAATGGAAATATCGAACAACCGCCAAAGCAGCTCACGTCTGTATTTTAGTATCGAGAAAGATTGCCAGAAATTCATCTGTGTGAACAGCCAAAAAAAGAAAATTTTCCCTGCAATCCGCCGTTCAGAAATAAAAAATCTCTTTCGAAGGACACTTTGCATACAAAGTGTGACCGCTCATGCAACTGCTTTCTGAAATTTCTCAATTTGACAGCCTTTTCGAAACATATGCCATTGCCACGTCTGACACACTCTTTAGATAAAGCGTACTTATTTATCGGCCGGATATGTTTTGTTGGACACTGTTATTCGCTAACCTTTCCGGATTTTTGTACATATTGATTGTTTCATAGATAAATTTAACAAAATTTCATATATTCGTAGGTCAGGTAAACAAAGCCAACGTCGTAAAAAAAGATCCAACGGATGGAGTCACTATAAAAGTGAAGTAGGGATAGCAGATAAAGTTGTTTGTAAGGCCCGGTATCAACAAAGCCCTGTGGAAGTATATGCCCGATTTTTAGCTATTGATCAAGTGAGTTTTGTGAAAAGCGGTTACTTACGGTTTTTAAGGTAATTATTTTGATCTTGTAGAACTCTGGACGCATAAGTTATTTTATCTCACGCCGCACTGGTCTGCGTGTTACGGATTTGGTTCAACCGCTCCTACGTGTATCCGATCCGAAAATTGCTACATTGAAAGGAAGAATTCTGCAAGGAAAATCAATGGGACGAACCGATATACAGGTATAACACCTCATCGCTATTGTCATTCGTTATTTAAAAACTAATCCACACTTCCCTTATAGGTTCTATCCCCTATAACAGGACGCGTGATAGGGACAAAGGAAATTCGCGTTGGTAGTGACAAAGTCAGCTTAAAAAAGTTAATTGTGCGTGTGATCTCAGGACTACAATTAACTATTTCCCCAGACAGTGGTATTGACAACGGTTATACAGCAGAAACTTCGGTCACAAATAAATTAACTGCGCAATATCAGGAAGGATTGCTAGATATTGATCTACAATTTTCAGATGGATCAAAAACGCCTTTAAGGTTAGAAAATCTTTTATTTAGTTATGCATTCTAATTACATATTAGCATGGAGGCGTGCGCTAAATTGTAAATCACGTTTTGAATTGTAAATTGTGGTCCATTATTTACTTTAATGTATTTACTACGGGATTGCCCCAACGCTGAAAGTTTTTGAATACATTTTTAACCAATCTCTACTTAAGTGTTCCTTGTAGCTTTTTGAAGAAGAGATGCTATTTTTATTTAATCTGCAAATTGGATGCGCACCACAGCCAATGGGCCCGGGGTAAAACTATGATTCCTTTGAATTATACGGCATGTTGTTGTTGTAGCGGCAACTAAGCCCAACTCGTGTCGGCTTGTCCTTCAACGTTGTTGTTGTTGTTGTTGTTGTAGCGGCTAAAACAACCCCGCCCATATCGGTTAATGTCTCAGTCGTTGTCGTCAAGCTCCACTAACGGAAGCCCTAAGAAGCGTGTAGTCTCAATAGGGTCGGTCCACAAGAACAAAGGCGTTAGGGTTGTCGGGTTTTCCGGGCATACGAAGAGATGTTTCGAGTCATGGGGTGTCTCTCCGCATGCCGGACACTCATTTGGCACATCTGCGTCTAATCTGCTCTGGTATGAGGTTAACCTGCTGCAGTAGCCAGAGCGAAGTTGGGCTATTGTGGCTCTAGTCTCCTGAGGCCCATGAAGCTTCGTCTCGTCAATGTCCGGTGGTTGTGCGCCTAGAACGGCATTCATAGGTCTGGAGTCTACACAGCTCGAGACTGACTCCCTGTGAATGCCGGTCGGGGCCTGTCGATAAGCTGACGGGTCCAGAGGTTGTTTAATGAACCTCTGGACTTCGTCCGCCAGTTCGTAGAGATGCCTATTGACGTGCCTGGGCGAGGGCTCTTCTGCAAACAGTAGTATATTTGGGTGACCACGTGTATGGCTCCCAACGACAAACTGCTTGCAGAGCATTTTCGCCTCGTCGTGCAGGTGGTGTTCTGGTGACATCAGAAGGCATCCAGTCGCTGTCCGTAGTGTGGTGTTTTGTGTAGTCTGCAGCTTCATCCACTGCGTCCTACTAGTCCCCGGCGACCACACTGGTGCTACGTAAGTTAAAACCGGGCTGCCTATTGCATTGTATGTTGCCAGCAACGTTTCTTTGTCTTTGCCCCAAGTACTGCCGGCTAGCGTCTTGAGGACCTTGGTGCGGCTCTGTAATTTGTTGACAATAGCGGTTGCGTGCGCAGAAAAAGAGAGAAGACTGCCGAAGGTGACTCCGAGTATTTTGGAGTTATTCACCGTCGGAATTGGTGTATCATCAACGTGAGTTTCCAGCGGTAGCCTGACCTCCTTCGTCAGGTGGTGAACACGGTCGCAGAGGATTTTGTAGGGGAGAGGGTTAGGCTCCTTGCAGTGAAGAAGCGAGAAAACTCGGAGAGATACCCGGCTACCTTCGAACACAGGTCATCAATTCCATTCCCAGACGCCATGATCGAGCAATCTTTGGCGTCAGAGACAATCGAGACTCCCTCTGGGGGTTGAGGGAGCTTTGGAATGTAAAAATTAAACAGTAGCGGGGAAAGGATACCACCCTGTGGAACCCCCTGTTTTATTTTTCTGAGTTTGCTCGATCTAAACATTACCGACGAGTGTCGACCACTCAAATAATTATCCGACCACCGTTTGAGCCTCTGTGGGAGAGAGGAGGCCTCTATGTCTTCTAGTAGCGTGGAGTGGCTGACGGCGTCAAACGCCTTTGACAGGTCCAACGCTACTAGGACCGTTCTCTTACAGGGGCGCTTTCGGTTAAGGCCACGAGTTATGTGGGTGTTTATGGCGTTAAGTGCTGTTGTTGTGCTGTGCAATTTACGGAACCCATGCTGATGCCTCGCATGGGTCAGGTGGTTTGTATATTGCGGCTGTAAGAGGGCCTATAGCTTCTTCGCTAATCTACTCCCGCAGGACTCAATTTTTTCAGCATCAGCATGCACATTCCGTCGGGACCTATGGCTTTGGAGGCTTTCGCCTTCCCGATGGCTACCTGAACTTCACCACTGGTGAAAACAAGAGGCGCACGGGGTATTGGCAGTTTGTGCAGCCTTCTAGTCACTCGACCTTTGCCTTTGTCCGCCGATGGATGTAGTGAGAATTGTCGGCTAAAAATGCTCAATCATCACTCCGGATCCGCCAAGGCGTGGTCGCCGAAAGAGATTTCGACTCTGTCGTCACGCTTCGCCGGGTTGGACAGCGGCCACACGGTTGACCAAAGCTTGCTCATACCAGAGGTGAAGTTGCAAGTCTTCTGACGAAGGTTACGCTCATCGATGCTGGGCATCGAGATGCACAGTGTTGCGTTTAATGCCACAATTAAATACATACATATTAAAGGCCAACGCAAGTGTATTTGCCGCATTTCGTTCAATAAGTACTATTTGCATTGTACTCTACTCACAACACCTTGTTATTCTTTTTCCGCATAAATACATTACTTGGCGTTGAGAGAGTAAATTCTTAACGTACTTGCTATTACTCCACCAAAGTAGTTACTCTACTTTCTCTTATCGCGTACGAGAGATGTGTGCTGCTGCCAAAAGGGAGTGTTTATGTATCGAGCTCAATGAGCCCGTATGGTTATAGGTGCACATCAAGGCAACCACGCACTCCATATGCCTGCTATGCGAGCGAGAGATTGTGAGATATGCGGGCAGGCTGATGAGTCAATTGGGGGACTCCATTGGAGAAGCCATGCTCTAGCTGCCGTAGGCTGCTGTGCAATGAGCTGCGATTTATTCAGAGATGCATTCATGCAGAGCCCCAGTGTGGTTTGTAAGCCGTAGCTTACTACCGTGCCAAAAATTACTCCGGGAGTGGAGTGGGAGCTATGCTTAAAGCGCCGAGTGATAGCCAAGCTGGTTTAGCGTTAACCATGGCTGAAAATGCCAGCGACTTATCACTTCACTAAGTTCAGCGAAGAGATATTTGAGAATTGCATAAAAAATGCATACCCAATTAAGAACGAGCGAATTACTTTTAAACACAAGTGCGTGTGTTTGTTCGCTGCACTTGGTTTATGCGGGAAATGCAATATAAATGCTTGTAAGTGTTCGCTGTTGCATAAGCCGCTTAAATGCATAAGTCGCGGGAAATGCATAAGTCGCTTAAACACAACCCTTTGGTGTAATCAATCTAGACCCCCAGAATGTATGTTTGGCATTATAATCTGCTACAATAAACTTACTGCCAAACTTAAGGAATAGTCCCTTGTGGATCCTTAGTATTACAGAATTTGTACCCATTAATTTGAAAGTTATTAAATTGCGTAAGGAGGGTTTCAGATATGTATAAGCAAAACGTCTATTTGAAAGCGCTCTAGGAAAATTTCGAGTTCGTTATTATGCCGGGTTAGCCCGTTCGCATTTCAAAAACAAATTTTGAGATTATTCATGGTTTAGCTAAAATGGCTTGAAGTAATAGATTTTGATTTTTAATCAAATCTTGTACCATGCTCTGCATTGCCATCATTTGCTCCTGCATAACTTTCATAAAGTTGTTTATAGGAGCTTCTAGGTTACTACTATTCTGACCAAAAAAAGGTTGCGTCGGAGGAGTATTTTTGAGCATTTGTGCATATGAAGTAAAGTCATTGGCGCAGACACTGGCTTAGCGGGTTCTGGTATGGGGTTATGCCTAATAGGAATATTTTTGGGAACTGTTTTCTCTTTCATTGAGATATAAACTGGATAACCTCTATAGTTAGCAGTGTGATTTCCACCGCAGTTACTGCACTTTTGGATTTTGGGTCCATTTTTGGTTTCACACATTCTGTAGAAGTGTGTAAATCCCCACAGATAACACAGACACCAGGTAAGGTGCAGTAGCGACATGTGTGACCAAATTCCAGGCAGTTGTGGCATTGAACAGAGCCACTACGCTTATGGGGTTCTTCTACGGGGATTTTACGGTGTAAAAATTCTATGATCGGCCGCTGTGGTGTAGTGGTAAGCAGTGCGCGCTTCCACTCCGCAGCGCCTGGGTTCACGCTGTGAGGACCCAAATCCAGGGGCTTTGGAGTCCCCACAACATTATTTATTTTTACGAAGTATTATATTGAGTTAATTATAATAAATAAATAAATTGAATTGTTTAAATTGAATAGTATCACATTTACTTATATAAATTGAATTGTATTGAACTTACATATACTTATATACTTGTTGAATTGTACAACACTATATTCAGTATTCAATTGTTGCTATTTGAAGTTTGTTAATTTCTTAACATTTGTAGTTAAGCATTGTTATTGTAGAATAACAGTCTGCCTGCGCGCAGAAGAGTATAAAAGCGAGGAGATATTTTGTAAAGGGAGGCAGTCGCTAGTAGGCAGGTATACTAGTCGGTGGGCACACACTACCGGCAAACGAAGCGCACCTGGGAGTTTCCACCTCATTTGCTTTTAGTCTTATATTCGGCGGAGGTTACCACTCCCGCCGACGGGTAAGGTTAGTGGAGGGATATTCACTCCCACTGCCTTTAAGCGTTCTTGATAGGAATTCTTAATTAACAATTTAATAATAAAGAGTAAATGGATTGAAATTTAAGATTTATCATTTTGAAGGAGAGAAGTAGAAATTCCAATTTCAGGAACCCTGGACGGACTTAGCTTACCCCGGCACTACAAAAGTTCGTCACAAATGGCGCCCGAGCAGGAACTTTGAGAAGTCAACGAGAAATTAATGATAAATAAGAGAGAAGTCAACGAGAAAAACAACAAGGGAGCGAGGAGAATATCAGCAAGAAGAGAACGAGAGAACGAAGGAGAAAATTTGCAGCAATGGTGAAAGTAACGTGGGTGTACTACCTCAACCGAGAGGAACTACTAGCCTACGCCACTGAGTTCGGCCTCGAGAGTTCTGGAACAGTGGACGAGCTTCGTAAGCGTCTCTCGACCTTTATCCAGACGGAGAGTGACAACGCAGGACTCAATGATCGCTTCACGGAATTGGCCCTTCGGCATGCACGGCCGACCAC